AGAGGTCGCCGCCGCCGATCACTTCCCTGAGGACACGGCGGTGCTCAGCCCAGGCAGGGCATACCGCTACCGTTAGCTCCACCGTATCCTCTAGGTGGTCCTCACAATGGCGACACTCGGGCGTTTCCTCCCGCTCGATCCGAAACAGGAACCTACCGAAGCTGCCGTGCCCGGTAAGCACCTGCGTCAGGCGGAAGGTGAGGACGCCGTGGCGTCTCTCAAGCCACTCCTCAAAGAAGGGACTTATCGCTGCTATAGTAGCGTGCCCGGCCCTCGGTTGCGACAGTCGCTGCTTCCACTCAGCCATGAGATCTCGCCGGAGCTCATTCCGCCACGCACTAATTTGGCGCGGCAGAGGATCCTCGCCCCGGCGACGCGCGTCTGCGCGCAAACTGTAGACGCGCGCGAGCGCCTTCGCTTCCAGATCCCATGGCGTTGATCCGGCAAGGAGGTTCGCCGCCTCCCCGGAGATCGTGCGATATCCGCGGACCGATCTTTATCTGCTGGATTATGATTTATGGTCAGTTTTAGAGAGTAGGGCTTGTTCTAAACGTCATGATAATTTGGACCCTAAAACAATCCATACGATTGGCAGTGAAGAATTTTCCCATGGAAAGAGTGCGTGCTTCTATTGATAACTGGCCTCAACGTTTAAAGGACTGTATTGCAGCCAATGGAGACCACTTCGAATAAGCTTTTTATGTTTTAAATTACTTAATATTTATGTATTAAACTTACATACTGTAAAAGCATCGATCACTAATAAAGAAGATCGATGTGTAAAAATAATAAATGTTATTTGCAATAGAAAAAATATTTTTTTTGTATTTATGGCTAGACTAGGTATATCTAAGTATAATTGAGGTAACATACAACGTAAATGACCTAACGATTCTGTAAGACGTGCTCTGATACATTTCATATGCGTAAAGTTGAATGAACTGCCGTAAGATTTTCATGAAGGCAGTCAAAATTTGGGCCCTTTTTGTGTGATTGGACGGCAACCGAGTTAGCAATCAGCACTGCTCAAGGACATCCCGCAACAACGGACTATTAGGGCGTTGCAGATTTTTGGGCATTAGGCTTTTGGAGATTAAGGGATTGGGGGATGGGAATGGAAAAAACGCTGTGGTTTTATTTTACGCCGGTCTGCCGTGAGGCCGTGGTATTTTTTTTTAAACGTTGGCCCCACTCTTGCATTTTCTCCTGTCTCATGGATGCCTTTACAAACATAGAATTACATACACATCACACCCATTTGTGGATCACAAAAAGAGTTGTTCTGTGCAGGAATCGAACCCGCGACGCATTGCGCGGCAGCCAGTTTCCCAGCCACCGCGCCAATCGTGATGTCTATTATTCCGGTCGAGCCGACCCGTGCCTGCCGAAGCATGGCTATATAGTAGAATGTTCTTCATCATTCAAGTATCGGTATATTGCAACACACGCCGTGAAGTGTCCTGATTGGTTCCTCAGGCCTAAGCTAAGCGGCTTTGTAATAATGGAGTCTTTCTCTCACAACACTAATATGAATGGTGTTAGGAACCGACGGCTTGGCAAGCAATAGCCAGGACCAAGCCTACCTGCCTAGATACGTGACAACTTACTTCCATTGGCATAGCCTGGATGTGATTTATATTCAACAATTGATGGATGTGTCCGACATGACGGTGATTAGTAGTCAACCTGATAAAACATAAAAAAAAAATTGGAGGAAGAATGCTACCCTGAGGAACGCCACCATGGAAATCTCATCAACCAGAGTTACCTCCGAGCTGGATGGACTGGTAACGCTTCAAAAGATAAGAAGAGAACCAATGTAGTGATCGAGATCTTATGATGCATCCAAGCATTGCTAGGAGGATGTCGTGACTAAGTTTAACAAAAGCTATAGAAAAATCGTGTAGTGTCGTATAGTATCGTGGTGGCCCGGAGGTTAAGGAGCCCGCTTCTCATGCATGAGGAAAAAGCTACATTGGTACTTGCCAGGTTTCGAACCCACACCGGTTCGAAACCTGGCAAGTACTAATGTAGCTTTTTCCGAGTTATATGTACTTTCCATGATTATTTAGACACCACTGACATACGGTGATGGAAAACACCGTGAGGAAACCTGGACTATAATTTCTAATTATAAGTTTGAAATCGCCAACCCGCATTGAGCAAGCGTGGTGATTAATGCTCAAACCTTCTCCGTATGACAAGAGGCCTTTGCTCAGCAGTGGGTATTTATAGGCTGATGATGATGATGATGATGATGATGATAGGAAAATCGACCAATAATAAAACAGTCACTGAAGCGGCTACGAAGCACATATTATTAGGTAAGTTATTTTCAAGCGTATTTTAAATCTCAGTTTTACATAATATTGAAAGTTAATTAAAATAAATCCGTTGTGTACTTGAATGAAGGTAACATTAATGCGTCCAGCGTACTCCATTGTCGTCCCTACAGTAAGGGGAGTCTAGGAAAAATCTTGACAAAAAAGTAAAGATTTTTTCAATAATTACAAAGTATTGAATTTGACTATAAAGTTGTATTAGTTGTAAATACCTTAGGTAACAGATAACAAGAAAGATAGTGAATTTGTGAGATGGGTTGCTACAGATACTTACTATTTATTTACTTAATAAGGGTCTAAAAGGTAATGTATATAAATAAAACAAATCTACACCTGATCAAAGATTAATATAATTTTATACTCTTAAAAATATCAAAATAGTTTACAAACTAAAAATGATATTTAAAATAATAGATACAAAATTAACTTACATGATGGTCTGATCTTTAAAAAAATATAATATTAATATTTATTTACCATTTCGTTTCTTTTTGTAAATAAATTAATATCAAAAATTCTAATTTCTCATAATAGCACAATAACAACATTTATTTGTCAACAGCTACAGTTAATGTGACTATTAAATACATTATCTATATAATTTCAATAAATAACGACAATACTAATTTCTAATTCCATCAAGATAAGTGTGAACCAACATACAGAAGCGAATTTGAGAATATTTTCCTTAAAACTAGTTTTTGCTTAACTAAAAAAATATTTTCGCGCCAATTTTAAAATTTCATAAATGGAACTTCGATATCGGTGCGTTGACCGATAGTTTTACTAGAAGCGACGTCGGTTGTCAGTCACGAAATTTCTCGCATGTCATTCTCGCCACGACAACCGATAAAAAAAGATAGCGTTGTTTTTTTACTGTCGCTGTCACTGATATTCTCGTAGCGACGATAGTTGTGTAACTACTGTTTCTAGCGATGTAGTGTAGTGAATGTTTGTGCGTTTAGTACGCGTGGTTGGCTACAAAAAGACCGGCTTCAGCGCCCACACCTGTTACAGATCCGGCTACGTATTTGCCTTGCGACGCCTGGCCGTTAGCCTGGAAAAAAAGAGAATTTTAATTATTTTGATGTTGCAACACACAAAAATAAAACGTCAAAAGTCAAAGGTTGGTATTGATTACAAAACCATAATAGCTCGTCAGGTAATTTATTTTTTATTTTCAAAAATCCAGTTATTATTCTTCTAAAAAATCGGGTCTCTACTCATTATTATTACACACATTTTACATTTAGTTTGACATTCATTCTTCGCTCAAAGTTTAATTAATTTTATTTGAAAAACAGAGATACACATTCAAAATTATTCACAATCATACAATGAAATTTTGCTCTTCTGCAAATAAAAACAATTTAAACTTTCACTTACAAAGTATCTCAATTATCTGACATCAGAATATGAGGTATAAAAATAAGCTACAAATAGCTATAAAACAATGTTGCCAAGAAATAAAGCATTACATTTTTTTTATTCTGGCAACATTTGTGTGTTTATTTTAGACAAGTATTTTTGGTCAACAGGTTCAAGGGCATCTTTACCGGCCACTGATAATTTGGTATGTAAATATTAAATCTATAGATACTAAATATATCTAATGTAAGTGCGCATTTTTAAGAGATTTTTATGAATTTATTTAGATTGTTAGGCGATGGGTGTATCCTCCATTAAAACTGGTTTAAAAGAATTAATTATCTTTATAGAACATTAACGTTACTGGCAAGTAATAGAGAAAATGACATTTTAGGCATTAAAACAAAAATAATAAAAAATAGGTTTCTTGAACCAGATCAAAAATAGACAAAGAATTGTTACTTTAGGATTCTGATTAAAAGGCTAAATTGGTATTCGTTATTTAATAAAATTTTCTTCTAAATGTGCTACTAAACAATAAACTACTGTAATATCTGGATGGATTACTTGATAGAATTCGCTAATACATGAGGCGTGTAGAGTTCTAACTTAAGTAACAGTTTTTATTCAAGGATAAAAGCGGCAAACGAGCAGGCCTATAAGCTCGATGCTGAGCGATCGGCGTCGCCCGTAAGTAAGTGGTTCAAGTTACAAGACGAGAGAAGTTACTGTGATGCAAACAATACAACTACTAACTAGCGATTACAACTAAAATAAGAAGGAGAAATAAACACAACACTATAAAACAAAATTAATTATTTATTTCAACAATTACAAGCACACAAATAAGCTGCATAGTGTTTTTACTAAGCACTATTTCAAGCATACTTTTTATTATTAGATACATGCAAACAATAACACGTTTGAAAAAAGAAAATGGCCGTTGTTTTTAATATTACATAAAGACGTCTATCTCGCTTCCACCTTAGATGTTAGAGCGAGAAGGAACTGTGTAATTTAATTTTCTTTTTTTAACGTGTTGAGAGAATTTAGGTTTTGAAAATGGCTATGTCACGTTATTTGTAAAAAAAAGTATTGTTGCAAGTTAATGAATGGAGTGATTTTTGTATATATGTATTATCTTGAAAAATTTATTCTTATTTTTTTTTACAAATAACTTGACGTAGAAACTATTGTTCGTAAATGAATGTTAGCTACCAATTAAAGTAATGTTGTGTTTTTGGCTTTTTTGTGATATATAATAAATTTAAAAGTAACTTTAAAAAGAAATATAAAAATAAATGCTATATTGGATCTTAATTCGATTTAAATTGTTAAACATGGAATGTAAAAAGTCCGAAATAAAGAAAAAACAGCCAATTATATTGTTTTCAAATATTTTTTGTAATTTTTTAAGGAAGATAACAATTTTAGAATAGATTTTGAATCAGGCAACATTTCAGTCATCTATATTTTTTTTATAATAAAAAAGGGCAGTCTATACAATTCAAAATCCATTCTTATAAAGCCGACCATACATATTCAAATTGATAAAACTTTATAAAAATATGACTAAAAAACATTTGCTTAAAAATGTAGTAAGTAATAACAACTTGATAATAATATTTCAATCATTTGCAGTATATGTATGGTTTACTTAAGTTATTTTAATAGGCATGCGACTTAACAAAGTTAGATTTGGTCGATGCCAGCGACGGAATCGAACCAGCTTCGTACTTTCCAACACAAGCCAAACCATTGGCCTGTGACGTCATATATTGCAAAAGCAATCCAATTTTGAATTTCGAATTTAGAATCATCGATCCGACACGTGATTGGTGGTTAAAGATGCGCAGGAGTGCAGCGTCGTTGGTGCAATGTCGAATTGTGAGGATTGGAGAGAAAAAAAATGTTTGATTAGTACACTACTAATGAATAACATATTCAGTAAGTACAAAATGTATTTTTAGTATTTTTTTGTACATACTGGGTATGAAAGAAACTACAATCTAAGCAAAATTAGTAACACATAGAAACAACACAAATGTTCATGCATAAACACAATGAAATAGAGTAACAGACAACACAGTGGTTTAGGTGCATTTTATTTTTCCATGAAATACTAAGACTTCAGAAGAGTGAAGATGTTAATTCCTTTACTTTGCTTCTTAACTTACCAATCATTGAAACTGCATACGGCGTTGTCGTCTTTCTAAAGAGTTTTTTATCTACTCTACTATGCTACTACAAAACTATTTTACTATGTCGCTGCTGGAATATCAAATATTTCAAACTGTCCCTGCATTTGGTATTGTAATAAACTAGCACACATCCTTCATCTCCTAAATTGATTTAAGTCATCGTAAGTCGATCTCCTTAAACTCATATACTCCTGGTACCATCCACCCAGATTGTTCATTTTAGACAGGCTTTTGTTAAATTCACACCTTTTTTATGAAAGAGGGGCAAGCAAACAATCTACGTTTTGCCTGATACTGAAGGACTCGTTCACATAAACAAACATCCTTCACCTCATAATCTCCTAGTATAATCAAGTCACCTTAGCACGCTTCATGAGCTCCTGTTGTCCAGCCAACACGTTCTCAGGCTTGCCGGCCCACGCGCGGAGGACGGAGGCCTGGAGGGCGCGCCCGTAGCTGAAGGTGAGTGCCCACGGCCTCTTGAGGTCCACGGTGTTGATGGCGTTCAGGTTCACAGACGCCTCCTCCTCAGACTGACCACCAGACAGGAATGTGACGCCTGGAGATTAATTGGTCAGTTATTTACAATTTTCGTTATACTTCTAAACAAAATTTTGTCCGTTTATAACGGTTCCTGCGAGTGCAGGAAACACTTGGAATTTAACCAAATCATCATCCTCATCATCATCATCACTCGCAAAGAGAGAGGCGGCCCGCGTGAGGGAGCAATCCTCCTCCTCACGCCCCAGCCGCCGCAACTGGCGACACTACGGGCGTCGGGGATCAAGGGACGATCTCCGGCCACCGTAAGCACGGGTCTGCGGTCGGCGAGTAAGGGCAGCTCGCCGCCCGACCAGAACCAGGCCCGAGCGTGCCGCGCGTAGCGTTCCGCGCGCGCCTCAAAGAGCCATTAGACCACCACAGATGGGTCCCTAAAGGGCTGATGTTCAGCCGGGGTTGCGGGGTAAGCGCAATGAGGCACCGCGACCTAGGCACAGAGCAGGAGAAGGAACAGGGGGGGTTTTTACTAAAAACCCCCCTGTTTCTTCCCTGTTCCATACAAAATAAAATCAATCAGCCGAACATAGAACCTCCTCCTTTTTTTGAAGTCGGTAAAAATAATAGGAAAAATGCACCAAATTTCAGTATTTTAAGAAATTTTATTGTAAGTTTCGGTTTCGGTTTCGGCCGAAACAGAAGCCACGGCCGAACATTCGGTTTCGGTTTCGGTTTCGGCCGGGAAACCAGTTTCGGTCGGACACTAGTTTTTAGTCAGTAAGAGTCTGACACTCCCTCCTGCCCGGCCCTGGGCGGGAGAAGTCATTTGATGATTTTCCCCTCACAAAAAAAAAATCATCATCATCAGCCGGAAGACGTCCACTGCTGGACAAAGGCCTCCCTCTATAACCCTCCTAACCAAATGCTTCTACCTAATTATTGCCTTAATGATGTTGCAAGCTTACCGGGAACGGCAGCAGGAACGGTTCTGAGCAGAGCAGTGACGGTGGCGCGGCCAATGTCCATGGGAGTGTAAGTCTTTGTGCAACTCTGGCCAGCAGTCACCTGGAAAGTAATTCAACATAACATTAAATATTTTATTCACTACTTTTTACAAAGATACAAGTACAAGGAACTCAGTAGAGTATAAGAGGTGTGGTGTAAATGTGGCTCACCATGTTGGGCTTGAGGAGGGTACCCTCGAGGTAGACGTGGTGGTCGCTCAGTGCCTTGTAGACGGCAGCCAGAACAACCTCGGTCACCTTCTGGGCACGGTCAAGGTCGTGGTCACCTGGAAAATAGACACGACACCAATGCATTAAGTAAGTACTTTTATGTTTATTAATTTTTGCAAGTACTAGGAGTGCATAATTAAAAACAGTTCTCTTACCATCAGGCAGAACCTCGGGTTCTACGATGGGCACAATGCGCTGGCTCTGGCAGATGGAGGCGTAGCGAGCCAAAACGTTCGCGTTCTCCATGATAGCCTGGTAGGATGGAGTGAAGCGGCCGATCTTGAGCACGCAACGCCATTTGGCGAAGTGGCAACCGTCCTTCTTGTACTGGGCACAGCGCTGGGCAAGGTCATCCAGACCTGGAGAAAAAAGTAAAAAAAACATTGTTTACTTACTATAACAGGAAAAGGGTTTTTTTAAAATCCTATATATAAGTATTGTCATCAAACAATAAGATGTTTATTTTCTAATCAAATAAATATCAAAAAACAAGATTGCTAAATCAAATTGTGCATGATTCTACAAAAACATTGCATGATGCAACTTATGTTCATCCTAATAACAGAATGATAACACAGTGATTTTAATCTTGTGGCAATTTTACGATACAACGTAAAAATAATCTAAAAATCCTGTAATTGTGAACACAACTTATAAAAAGGAAAGGTACAACATGGCTTTTTAAACTGGATTTAATTGGCATGATATATCTTGAATGAGAAATTTAAGTATTTTTTATTTTGGAACGATTTTGTAAAGGAAATAAACCTAACGATCTAAATTTCAATCAAATAATCACTTAGTGGGCGGTGATTCGAAGCCAATTACCAGGGTCACAAATATCGACCCGAGTGGTGATTATTTGAACATCAACATACATTAACTATTTTTGTATGACGCAATCACTTGTTTACGAACTTTTGACGGTGATAAGGCGATGATAAGAGCAGTCGAGCCCCCGGCCTAAATAGAAATGATCACAATCGTAACTAATTAAGCAATAATATCAGATCCGGCCCCCAATTTTGTGCACGTCATAATGAAAAGAATATATTATTTATATGTATAATTTTACAGGATAATTTTACAGTGGTAACTATAGACGGAAGTACATGTTGAATTGTATTAACCGATTTTTAACATTTTTGTTTTGTGTAAATGCTAAAATCTGTTGTCGATGCGTGCTGCTGACGCTGCCTGAATCATTCTTAGATAGGCAGTAACTATATTGGTAGAAGGGCAATTACTTTGAAGAAATTATCGTCAGTTACATACCTGTATTAATATGTTCTCACAATTCAAAAGAAAATATAGCAATGAACAGAAACCATCCATCCCCACTTTTTTGAAAAAAAAAAAATGAATAAAAGTTTTTAATTTACGAATACGGTTGTTTCCAACTAGTCAAATTCAATACTTTTATCCAAATGTCAAAAACGATACTTTTCTATGAAAATTGTATGAAACATTGAATTATGACGTCATAGCATTTTTGCGTCAAATAGCTTAGGTACTTATTTTTAAAAAAATAGCTAAAAAATATCTGAAACTTAGTGTATCGATCGATCGATGAATAAAAATATAGTTATTTTTCAATATTTTATCGTATTAAAACGTCGAATTAATTTATTTTTGACCTAGGAAACTACCCAATTAATTTATACCATATACTATTATTTCTGTACTAGTGGTAAAAAAACTCCATATTAGCAAAATGTTTTTTGCTATCTACGAGTCGTGTGACACGTCTAAAGATAGCCAGTCCAAAAGGTCAATGGATAAAAATTATTTATTTAGTTATTAAGCGAGGTCATTTTCGGACGGACATTTCATCGCGTATCGATAAGATAATAAGATAAAATGTTCCTAACCTAAACATATTTCAACTTAATGAAAGTGTAATATGAATTAACTTATTTTCTCTCATTGATTAATGTAAAATACTGGTTATTTTCAACACTTTATAGTGAAAACTTAGTGCCAGTAAGTTAGTGCTCAAATTAAAATAAGTATATTTTTTAAGAAGTAAAGATGAGAATGTAGCGGACATAATAATCAAGAATACATACATCACAATCAAGAGTCAGTTAATATACAACTCAATCATTGTCAACATCATCAGTTAGTAAATAGTATCTATCTACCAGGAAAACATAAAATACTAAGAAGTATTTATTTGTTCAACGATTACTTCCGTCTGTCTTCCATTTATTCAATAAAAGCGAACAACGGAATACTATCAAAGAGTTTATTAGTGCCTTCATCCGTTCAAATCCCTATTCTAATGATAATATTTGTGCCATAATCATCAGTACCTACTAAAGACGATCCATAATTATCAGTACCTACTAAAGACGATGATAACAATAATCTTTATAGAAGTCTAAGCAATAAAATGGAACTAGGCATAAAATAATTACTGGTATTTGCTTCCAACTTCGCCATCAACTGTGTAGAATCGATAAACGATCTAACATTTATTTGGGAGTCGTTTTCTGTGTCTAAGGTTTTATTTATATTGTCCCGTACGAAACAAATCGGCAGTTCGATTTGAATAATAGTAGCACTAGCTAGTTTCTACACTACAAAACAAAGATACTTAAGTTGAAACAACAAAAATATAAAATCATTAAAGAACAGTGTGTACGTGCAAATTTTTAGTGAAATGATGCAATATAAACTTGCCTAAATAAAAATATTTTGGTTAACCATAACCTGCCACCTCTGTTGGTCCTTAAAAGGATGACCTTGAAGTTTCAAATTAACGCAAGTGGTCCCCAAGCCAAGACTCTAGTATTGTTAGCTAACCTTTTTTCTTCAAATTGTCAAAAAAACCTCACTCACCCTGAGTGGTGCACTCGTCCTCAGATCCGAAGAGTGGGACGACACCTTTGTCGACCTTGATACCGGGGATAATGCCACGCTTCTCCAAGAGGGAGACCAGGGGAGTGCCATCATCAGCCTTCTGGTAGAGGGTCTCGTGGAACAGGATCACTCCGGAGATGTTTTCTGAGAGGGCCTGGAAGAGATATTTAGAATTTAGTATGAGAAGAAGTTAAAACTTACGGTTTATATAAACTGTACTTTTAAGTGTTGTTGCTAGTGTTTAAGTGTTGATTTCAAGACACTCATTGCACCCTTTTTATGTATCTTGGCATTCTACAGAACATAGCCAGGAAGCACTTAAGTCTTTTCCCTTAAATTTTCTCTGGTCTTTTCAGATAGCCGTTCTATCTGTCCATCGGTTATAGGTACTTAAACGTGTCCAATAAATCAATTTTAATGCCTATTTTAAAATATCTCTGAGCAACAAATCTGTCTAGATAGGTAGCCATCGTGATTAAAATATATTTTCATAATCATCACAAAAAAAGTTCAGTAAAGTTTCTAAATGAAGTACCTACACTAGACCAAACATAATATGACATTAAGGCCCGGTAAACAATGTCTATCAAATATATTATATTTCCAGTTAATTATACCCATTTGTTATCAGACGTTAATAACGTATTAAGCACTCCAGAGTGAAGTTCTAATCAATCAGTAGTTCAATATAAATTTTACTGCTTCCATTGTTAACAACCACTTTTTTATGATAGCCTGGTCAAATATTTTAGTTTGAAAGAATGTGGGTGCATTTGAGGTTTGTATGCTAGATAATCTTCAGTTCCAGAGGTTTTTATTCAAAGATGAACAAATAAAAACTATGATGACTTTATAAGTACCTATATATTTTCAAATTGTCGTCAAGACAATCAGCTCAAATGCAGGAGATGAGAAAGTCTTGTTATTGGTTTAGGAATCAATGAGGAAGCAGGTTATTGATATGTTTATCTTTAAGACAGATAATTACGTAAGATTGCAACAGAAAATCGAATTAGAAAGTAGTTTATTTTCGATCCATATTTGGCATCGTAAACAGGAAGGCGGTCAGGCGCCGTGACGCTAAAATTTCGATGCTATTATTGTACAAAACATTACTAAAACATGTGATAGTCTGGCGTACCTGGGGTAAAGAAATATTTATGACAAATTGCCAAATGTGCCAGTTATAGAATAATTTGACTATCTTTGACGGAACTTTTGGCTAAATTTTATAGGGTACGATTTTGGCTGAATGATTCGTTAACCGTTTTCAATTTTGATTGGCCATTTTCAGTATATTCTGAAGGTAGATATTCAATATTTTTCTTTGCAAATACACGTATGAAACTATTACAAAAGAACATCTATCTATCTATCTATTTATCTAATTAAAGAAAAGACACCACAAAATAAGTAAACGAAAAAATAATCCGATTCGTTTTCTTTCGATCACAGTGGTTGCAAGATGCCTCTAATTACAAAACGGGCAACCCTATTTCATTACAGATAATTAATTTGGCTTGTAATCAACACGTGACTAAATCTATAAGGAAGACATCACAACGTAAAATACAAAAATAAACCCTACTTTTCCTAGTTATGCAACTCTCAAGGTCAAATTTATTAAGGTCACTTTCAAACGACTTTCTATGGTACTCTTACCGAGAAACATGGTACGTGATTCTGTTCATGTTTGTACAGTTTTTAGTAGGAAAAAGAGATATACTCATCATGAGTCAACAGCGTTGTCACAAAGCTGTTGAACTCCAAAGTATGGAAAAAGGTATTTTGTATTTTCCTAATAAGTACTAGGGTAACAGCTATCGGTAGTAGTATATTGAGTCGTACTATGTCAGGTTTCGAAAACTTTAAATACAAATATTTTTAAGAGAGAAATTAGCAAATTGAGTCAGATTTTACGCAGCGAATGTTGCGCAATACTCCTTGTGGCTATGAGCCCCTAGTCCTAGCAGGAAACTAGTCGACTTGTTTCGTAAAAAAATATTACTGTACTACACATTATTATTACTTCTCTTGTCATTTAGAGGTATACTTTCAGTCAACAAAGTATCGGGAATGAATGTTTTTTTATGGTTCCAAATTCGAATTTTAATTTTGTTTTTGTTGTTGTTAGATTGGCATAACTGTTTTCCATTTTGGCGCGGAATTTGAGTTGCATCTGTTATTTATATTAAAAACAGTGCTGTTTTTAGTTTTATAATATGTAGTGTGTATTGCGAATTTCATAATGGACAAAAACATCGAACAAAGAGTTTGTCTTAAATTTTGCATCGCCAATGAAATTTCGTGTTCGGAGGCACTCAAAATGTTACACAAGGCTTACGGTGAATCGACTTTATCAAAAACACGTGCTTATGAGTGGTACAAAGCGTTCAAAAGCGGTCGAGATGTGATGGAAGATTTGCCTCGTTCTGGTAGGCCATCAACGTCTGCAACTGAAGTTAACATCGCAAAAGTGAAGGAAATAGTGACTGAAAATCCTCATTCAAGTTTGAGAGAGATGGCCGCCGAACTTTCTGTATCTTACGAGTCGATCCGTACCATTTTAACAAATAATTTGGGTACGAAACGTGTTGCCACTCGGCTAGTCCCAAAAGACCTGAATTTTCTTCAAAAACTAAATCGCATGAAAGTCGCTGAGGACATGCTAGAACGAGTCAATACCGACCCAACATTCATGAAACGCATTGTTACTGGTGACGAGACGTGGGTTTACGAGTTTGACATGCAAACTAGTCAACAAGCTTCGGAATGGCGCCTTCCAACTGAACCAAAACCGAAAAAACCACGTCAAAGTCGATCAAAAGTCAAAGTCATGTTGACTGTTTTCTTTGACTATCGCGGTGTTGTGCACTCAGAATTCTTGCCCAAAGGTCAAACGGTAAATAAAGAATATTATTTGAGCGTTATGCGGCGTTTAAGAGAACAAATTCGACGAAAAAGGCCAGAAATGTGGAAAGAAAATTCTTGGATTTTGCATCACGATAATGCGCCTTCGCACAAGGCCATCATTGTAAACGATTTTTTGTCCAAACACTCAACAAACACCATCGAGCAGCCACCATATTCACCAGATATGGCTCCAATGGAAAGAAGTCGGCTACTTCTTTCTTTTTCCCACACACAAATTACCCCTTCGTGGCACCCGTTTTCAATCGTTAGAAGACATAAAGGAGAATTCGCGGCGAGCACTGAACTCAATTCCGGAAACAGCGTTTAAAAAAAGTTTTGATGATTGGATTATTCGTTGGCGTAAGTGTATCGTTTCTGAAGCAGCATACTTTGAAGGTGATAAAATAAATTTAGATGAATAACAAACATTTTGTGTATTATTGACTTTTTCCCGGTACTTTCTTGACAGAGTAGTATATATTTAATTCTAACAGTACTGTTCCGCAAATTATTAAGGTACAATAAATAGTGTCCACGTCATTATAAACTAAAAACAGGTTTGTAATTTACTTGCAGCTTCCTATCTATCCTGATAATGACATATACATGTGCACTGGCTTTAAATATAGCTAACTGTGATCTTTTAAACCATTCTTTGCTGTAAAGATATGTTAAAAAAACGGTGCTAATTCGATACCCACATGATTATAGTACCGAATCAAGTGAACTAACCAGCTAGAAAATTTCAAACGGCTTATTATTCAGAAAGTAGGTCAGTTTTCACAATTTGCAGCTGTAAATACTTTAGAGAAAATAGCTAATGACTTTTAGACACTGAATGTATGATAGGTACCATTTGTTTCCTGGGAAATCCTTTAAAAGACTATTGTATGTTAAGAGGAAAAAACTATGGAATGCCACTAAACCACTGGGTCTTCTCAGTAGACCATGACGTTTTATTTAGGCTCTGCCTTTATCCGAAACGTTTGAATTGATTAAGGTTTCTTTTTCTTTTGAGATTGTTGATAACGATTACTGAACTCCATAACATTCTTGATCTTAATATACACGACCTTCTTACTTTCAACAGTTTCAACTTGACCTCCATAGATCAGTCTATCCATGTGTAAGTAAATAACAACAATTGTTTACTACAAAACAAAATAACACTTGCAAACGAATCGTGACTTGAACGAGACAAATAAATTACCTACGTCATTCAAAAACCAACTGATACGAAGTAGCATTAATATTCAAAATCCAATACCAACCAGTCTCACTGGGGGCACGACAGCCACACCTCTGATTTAAAAAACTACGTAACGGAATTCAATTAACATTTAAATACGGCGTTTGAACTCGATTGCCTTGAGAATTATTTAATTATTTTAGAAATTTCCTGAACTAGACAAATGTCATCTTGATCATTAAAGATTATAATTATGTTGTTTGTTAGTGGAAATGTGATAGTATGATCGCATAGAAAAGCGTTGAGCCGTTTTTAAGATTACGGCTGAGAGACAGATAAACAGACACGGGGATCCTAGTTTTATACGTAGGTAGCAGCAACGTCCTAGATACTTAATTAGAAAATTATGAAAGATCTCAAATATTCTTAACACTAATGCAGTAAAATATACCTACAGTCTACCAAATAAGTTACTAGGCTAACATAAAACCTCAGGAGGTTAATTGTCATATAATCAAAATTAAACGATCACTGTACAGATGTAAACTGTGTAATTTCTATCATTTCCAATATTGTAAATAAAGTTCATTTTTAATTGTTTACTTACCGGGTCAGAACTGAAGAGCAACTGGCGGTACTTGCGGCGGTTCTCCTCTGTGTTCTCGACTCCGATGTCCTGGAGACGCTTTCCCATGGTGCCTGAGTAGAAGATCAATATTAATCAAGCTATAATACCCCTTATACCAAGACCTTCATGGACTGTTTCTGTAAAAACATTTATTAGAAAAGAGAGTAAAAATACTGAAAAATTATTTTCTAATCAAAACGTCATCGTAATAAAGGTTATTTTGGCATGTTACATAATATTGAAATATCCTTCAAAAATTGTCGACATCAGCTTGGGTGACAACCAATTATTAACCTACACTGCATAAAAGTAAGGGTTATTTCAGCATATCACTTACCAGTAGACTCATCAGCGGCAAGGATACCCTTGCCGGGAGCTACGATCGCCTGAGCGATCTTCCTGAGCTCCTCCTGCAGCTCGGGAGTCGGGTACTGGAAGTAGGTGCTCATTGTGGCTGGAAGAGAAAGGTTAATGTTAAAAATAAATCCGCAAACAGGCTACAATGGCCTCTACAAGCTAAATTAATTTTTAATCAAGTAAAACAATCTTAAGTTTTAATAATTCTTATTCATGAACAGCGTTGAGCGACACAGATCACAGAGAACTTCGCTTTAACAACTCTTCCGTACATTCGAATATGAGTATGAGCCCCAAGTGTGGCTTGAAACTAAACGAGTTCATTAGCCGATAAATAAAATGACAATACAATATTATTAACATTTATTACGAAAATAATGATGCAAAAAAGGGTTAAAGAAGGAACTTGAAACTAAAGATCATGTTAGTTTTAAAGTTTACTTTCTTTAAAAAGTATGTGTCAGAGGCCCAATTCTCACCAGAGCCACGCAAAGACCTCATGATTAACAGCACCTAGCAATCAGTCAGTAAAATAAATTCCAAATACCCTCATAATAATTATGATATAATACTAACCAATATCTAAGAAATAAAACTCTGATAGTATTTACAATTTTTACTTACTTATTGATAAATTATATTTGTTCAACACTAGATAAGATTAAAGACTACACTTATTTTTATTTTTTTGTAGATATAATGTAAGGATGAGTTAAAAGGTTAAGACTTTTACTGCCATACTCAGAGACATTTAACACATTCAGTGCCCCCGAAGCACCTGTGCGTTCAATACATTAATGTATAGAACGCACAGGTGCGTCGAGGGCACTGAATGTGTTAATGATTAATTAAACTGTTCCTTAACAACAATTGTGTTCGGAAAAAAATACTAAGGATTAGGTTTATTTTGGGGGAAGTTAATCTTCAAATGACTTCTCTTGCCCTAGGTAGAGATGGAGTGTCAGACTCTTACTGACTAAAATCCACCCTGATTCTACTCCTGCTTCAGGTCACTATTTACAGGTTAAATTACAATAATAATCCATTAGTATGTTTGACAGTAAAGCTAGGTGACCTATCACAGGCTTTAAACTGTTACCAAAGAATTATATTTTTTTAAATATAAATCTAAAATGTTATTGTTAATACATAATGATTTAACTTCCCAGCAGCACAAATGGTTGAAATTAAGCGATACCAACAAGTCATATACAATAAAGTTTCCATTTAAGTATAATGGCAAATCAGATTCTAACTAGAAAATATATTTACAGAACAGGTAGACAGAAGATATTCCTATAAGTTGTTTCTGCATCATTTAGATTTAATTAGATAAGAAAAAAGTTCAGTAACGGACAAAAATCATGCAAATTTTGCCTAGCACTGCTTAATATATCTGGCAGTCTGAGTTAAGGTATTGGCGAAGGACTGACCAATCATTATCTCAGGTTTCTTAGAAATATGTACTGGGAACACAGATACATAAAGAGTCTATCGCTATCTTAGAACCTATCCAACTAAAGCAAGAAGCAGAGTAATTGCCTACCCTTCGTTCCGAATCCTGGCCACCATCCCGACTCCGGTGGTCCCTTCTTCCCCTTCCCCTTTTTTTTACCTTTACCACCCATTTTGTTGTTGGTAAATAAGTATTACAAAAATTTTACTTAGAAATAATTAAATTGAACTTAAAAATATTATACTCGACATTATAAAAGATGATCTATCAAAAACTCACCATAACAAAGTAACCTGTATCTGTCGGTTTATTCATTTGTTTTTAAAAATTAAATTACGAAGCGATATTTTACAGTTGGCTATGATAAACTGTCAAAAAATTTGACAATTTCATTTTTTGGCACACTAGTTTTAGTGATGGGCATGCTATCGATTATTTCTAATATTGAAGTGCTTTTTCTGTTTTGAAAGGAAATGTATTAAAAGTATAAAATGCTTTTTAAATAAAACCGCATCAACCGTTAGCACTTTAACATCCAGATTATTTACAATTCATTTGACATTGCTCAATATTAGCTCCCTCGAGAGGTGACCTTGAAAGGTCATTGAAAACAAGATACCTTCTTGATACGAAAATCCTACAAGAACACTACTACTGGGTTATTAATACACTTACATTTCATTAGTTTTATAGTTATAAATAACCGGTAATTATTTACGCATTAATTGGTCATAATTCTAAAGTTGTGTTCTATTGTTTTAATAAAATATGTAGGTATATAATAATATTTCCTTTAGATATAGTCCTCAGGTAATGCTAGAATGGCTGCATTACGCTTAGACCTTTACCATTAGCAGAAAAATTAAAATTAGCAATATCATAAAAATATGACGCCACACTCTCATTAAAATACACAGCCTTCATTCAAGATTTTTTGGTTTATGTAAAAATCGGAGACTAGTAAATTGACTAAAAAGCTAAAAAATTTAATAAAATAAATACGTAATTGCGGAATTATACAATATAACCTTAAATAAACTACTTACTAACCGACTCGTAAATTATATAACTTTCTAAACATTCTTGAGCATTTTAAGTAAAGTATTGAAGCGAATAAAAGCTATAAATTATTTAATAAACTTACTTTTTTTAAATTTATTTTATCCGGCGAAACACAGACACTCCCGAACTGATACGTTGGTGGTACTGTCAAATAGTAAGTCGTCGAGAGGACACATACAAAAGGTCATTTGAAGGTCTAGAGATAGCACAACAGTGAAACAGTTTTACCTACCGGTAAGGCGCCATCTGATGAATCTCATACGAAACTGAAAGGCGACGTGTTCACATAAAAATAGAATTTAAACACGGATACTTTCGCATCCTTGGTGGTTAGTTAGTTAGCAGCCGAAACGGTAGATAGCGCTGTTTTAAAATTAATAGATGTTTGAATTCATTACTACTGTTAATGCTCAGAATACAGAACAAACCAGAAGCCGCGTTCACTCATAATTACATGTCGTCAAATGTGTCCAAAAACAATACGTCAATCCCCCCGCCAGCCGCACTTCCCACCCGCGTAGTGTTGCCGACAGTGGAACAATTCCCTTGGTTTGGGGTAATTTTACAACAGGAGGGTAAGATACGAGTAAACCCAACAAAATAGGTAAACTTACGATAAATGCAACAGACTAGTTGTTCACACATTTCATAGAGGTATCATAAAAGTTGACGATTTCTGGATTTGTTAATTTTAGTTACACCTACTATACACAACAAATAAAATAAAGCTTCAATAAGTACAAAGGTTTTATTGCGTTCCCTTTTGCTGGTTTAGTTTTTTATATGTATTGTCTTTAGACTCCGAACTAAAGATTAGAAGTCTACTTACTTTACTTAGTTCCTGAAATTAGCGCATTCTAGCAAACAAACAAACAAACTCTTCAGCATTATAATTAGTATAGATATATCTTAGTAGAATATGCTGTTTTCAAACCACCTTTGTCATAAATATATCTCTTCAAAGTGAATTGAGCAAACTATGCTCTGACTAGATGGTTTCTAAAATTAATCTAACCGTGCCCTTTGTATGATTTGTATTTATTTTTTTGTCAGGGAAACTAATATGACATAGGCTCCATAATGGACAAAAATATAACCCACAACAAATAAATAAGTGGGTAAAATTTTCACCAAAAATGACAACACTCACAAAATGGCCGCATCATTTTCATAGAAAAATAAATCGATAAAAAAAATTCAATAATTAATTAAATATACTATTGCAGTCGATGCTTGCAGATGAAATGTAATCTTATCCACTTTTTTCGTAATTCCAGCCGCATTTTTACTCGTAGTAATAACACAAGACGGCATAATGAAATTAAAATTGATACTCGTAAATACGTCACGACATGCCACGTGCCAAAATTGACTAATCGTAGAAATTTCATACTATTCTAGTTGAGAATGGTTTTAGTTGCTTTAGTTTGAAGCGCGATGACGCCTTCTGGTTTGTTCTGTATTCTGAGTGTTAATGATCACAAATATGGAACAATATCGATATAACAATAACCGAATACATTATGATCACATCACTATTAGAGAGTTGTGGAAATGACAATTTACAAAATCGGATTGACTTTGGCAACATAAATAATATAAATTAACTTTTTTCCGTTTATAACTCACCTTTTTGTGTCGACCTGTTATAACTTATAGCTGACTACACAAAAAGATTAGTCAACAAAATTAGACCCTAATTATATTTTACAAAATAGGATAGGTAGGTATTTAAAAATGAATAGGGGTTTACTTATATAGATATTTTTTTGGTAAGTAATGTTTATATTTTCGGAAATAATCGGCCCAAAAGTTTACTTATAACTTTTGAACCATAATATGGAAAAAATTGAATGTAGAACTTCAAACATTCTTTCATTATACATATTAGGTACTTTACTCTTTGCATTCTTTCTAGGAAAATTACGATGAACACGCTGTTTGAACAGTTTTTGAAAAATTGTACAAAAAATAATTGTAGCTAAGTTTGTAACTTAACCATAGGTATAAGCAAGCATTTTTTTTACTTCGTTTATATATTTAACTATTCTGAACGTATCTTCTTTAAAATTAAAAAATAATTAAGTAAGTACTTATTAAAATCGGTTACAGAAAATTTTTGGGTCGGAATCGCAAATTATCTACCCAGACGGGTAGGTAATTTTCGAGTTCGTATCAATTAATTAAAAACCTAATTCCCTTAGATATGGCGTTGTACTATGGCAGTTACTTAAGCAAAATAGTGATTTTAAAATTTACAATAACTCTTAAGTGTCAAAAAAGTCAAAAATCATTTATTTCAATTAGACCACAGTAGGCACTTTTGAACGTCAAGCAAGCAAAAAAGGAAAAAAGTATATATAACAAGAGCTTTAAAATTAAGCGTGTCAGTCTGTCCGTCTGTCCTCTAGTGAAGCTATTTGCTCGTTCCAAAGTGTAGATTCCTATGGAGAAGAACGAGCAAGAAACTCCATAGTTACTCTTTTTCAATCAGTTTTACAATACATTTCTTTGTTACATCATTTAGTCGGTTCTGATATGTGAGAACAATGTAACACTAATGTTCAGGCAAAAAGTACGAAAAAGAAGTGAACCTCAAGGACAACATATTTAGACAGCCTGGAGATGACCAGTCCCAATAGGCGGCGCCCGTTCACGAACATGACACGTACACCAGCACCGCCCAACTCAACCATATTATAGGGAATTGGACGATCCAGTGCCCGTGCCACCGCCAATGAGACCTCTGAGTGAGCATGACAGCTCCCAGCCGACACAAGTACCTATATTCTACAAGTCTTACTTAATTATAATAGGTTACAGGGCACTCACATTTACAAAATCTTAGAAGTTCATCAACAATTAACAACATAGTGTACAATTTAATAATTAAAATAAAAAAAATTACTCTAAACATCCTGTGGAGTAGGACCAGCTAGCCTCCAAGCATTTTTATCTTGTATATAATCATTTAGTTTGTAGTATGCTAGTTTACATAAATGTTTCTTTATACATAATTTAAATTTGCTTTCATTTAAATTTTGAATTTCAACTGGGATTTTATTATAACATTTAACACAGAAACATTTAACACAGAAAGAAAGGAATGACTTATGCACTTTTGCCAATCTAAATAAAGGCTGACTCAATCTATTCCTATGTCTAGTATGATAATCATGTTTGTCAGATACCTTTACAAATAAGTGTAGGTTTTTCCTAACATACATAATGTTTTCATAAATAAATTGACTCGGTACGGTCAGAATGTTGATCTCTTTAAACTTTTCTCTGAGAGATTCGCGACGACCTAAGTTATATATAGCTCTGACGGCACGCTTTTGCAAGATAAAGATAGACTCAACGTCAGATGCCTGTCCCCACAACAGAATTCCATACGACATGATGCTGTGAAAGTAGCTAAAGTACACTAGTCTTGCCGTGCCGACATCGGTTAGCTGACGGATCTTCCAGACAGTATAAGCTGCAGAGCTCAATCGTCCTGCTAGAGACCTGATGTGGGGCCCCCATTGCAACTTCTCATCTACAGTGATCCCCAGGAAAGTAGTTTTTTTACAAATTCTAGTTTCTGATCATTTAGTAATATATCTTCACATACGTTATTTTTAACGTTTCGTAAAATAAATCTAATGCATTTAGTCTTTTTATCATTTAGTAATAAGTTGTTTATTGTAAACCAATTTTGAACCTTCATTAAGGCATTATTAACTTCGTCATATTTGTTTGTTCGTCTATTTATTTTTAGTCAAATAGTTTTTAAAATCAATGAAGTGTCATCAGCGAATAATACCATATGCGGTTCATTTTGGAACATATGGGGCAGGTCATTTACATAAACTAAAAATAGAAAAGGACCTAATATTGAGCCCTGCGGTACGCCCATAGATACGCTAGCACCCAGTGAGTTAACTTTGTTGACTTGTACTTTAATTTTTCTTTCTTGAAGGTATGATTTCAATAAATCTAGGGATACCCCCCGAATGCCGTAGTGTTCTAGCTTCAGTAACAGCGTCTCGTGCTCAACACAGTCGAATGCCTTTGAAAGGTCGCAAAATATTCCGATGGCATCATGTGCTTTTTCCCACGAGTTGAAAACTTGTTTTATAAGTGATACTCCTGCGTCCGTAGTGCAACGTCCTTTGGTGAACCCGTATTGATGGTCATGGAAAATACAATTCGTGTTAAAGTGACGCAGCATTTGAGTAAGCATCAACCTTTCGAACACTTTACTGAGCACTGGCAAAATAGAGACCGGCCTATAGTTATTAGGTTCTGTACTATCACCTGATTTAAATAATGGAACTACTTTACTATGTTTCATTAAATCCGGGAAAACCCCTTGATCTACACTTTTATTAAAAATGAAAGTTAAGTGCGGCGCAATTGTCTCTATAAACGACCTGCACACTCGAACAGACATTCCCCAAAGATCTTCAGTTGACTTTACTTTGATCTCATTGAACGCCTTTATTACTGCCTGGGGGGTTGTGTATTGAAAGCTAAAGTCAGAAGGACATTCTTTGACGTTACCCCTGAGAAGCTCGACAGAAAGTGCTGGAGATGATTTTAACGTTTCCGTAGTTTTAAGAGGAATATTTTTAAAGAATCTTTCGAATTGTTTTTAAATTAAATTCAGTGTTTTGTGATTTATTTCTACCTGTTTCTTTATTAATTATATTCCAGGTAGCTTTTATTTTGTTTTCCGCGGTCCTGATTTTATTACTAATGTGGAGCGACTTAGCATAGCCGAGATGATGTGGTGCTGCACCTTTGATCGCTGGGTGCCTCCACAATAAGGCGCGGGCTTATCTAAAATAGAATTACAATTTATATACGTAGGAAAGTAGTATGATTTATTTATAATAGAATTAATATCATTGTTTCACAAAACTTACCTTACCCTATTACCTTCTTTCTAACACCTTCTCATAGCAGTATATTCAATATTTCACAAATTAATACTTATTTTAATGTATTTATTCTATCACCATAGATTTTCATTCTACCACCATAATTTAGTTTTAAAAAAAATCAAACAGCAGTCCATTGCGCACGGATGCCTGTTGCGTATTGGGTTGCGAGGGGAGCAAAATACCGGTCTGTTGATATTTATTGTCTCTTAGTTAGATAAATGAAACAGGTTTTTTGACTCGCTTGTATTGCGATCCTAGTTTTGTTGTCCGCTATCATATTCAATTACACTCACACATACACACCTACTCAAATCACACGACACAACACATATTTATTTATCACCAATTTAGCATTTATATTTATCTGTTTACTTTTATTTAATTCTTTAATGTTATAATTATTATCAGGGACTGGTTACATCCGTGATCTGATCACTTGAAGGTCCAGTTGAAAACCAGCGCCAGGCAATAACCGCCTGGCATCGAAGCTGAACTGGGCCTATTTGTCCAACGCTGAGACACACATCAGTGTTTTTTTTTTATTATTTTTGTTTTGATTAATTATTTACTGGTTTTTTTTTTATTTACTTTTGTATCTGTGTCCAGGTTGTGCAAATAAAATGATTTCTTTCTTTCTTTCTTTCTTTCTTAGCATGCTTACATACTATTTTAAATATTTTTGAATATTTGGAAACATGTCTGCGAAAAGCCTCGCTACTATTAAATGGTTTCAGGCCGTATAGCTCAAATAACCTGTCTCTACTTATACGAATACCTGGTGTAGCCCAGTCACAGAATACAAATTTACACTGAACATTTTTACGTTTTAAAGGAAATAGTTTATCGAATTGTATTTTTATAAGGGTTAATAAATTAGCATATATCTCACTCGGGCAATTATTGTCTTGTACTTGGCTGCATAATTCATGTTTTAGCTTATTATTTAATGAATAAATTTTTTTGTACGTGATTTGTCTAAACAATATTTCCTTTTTTGGCACAGTTGTTATAGTATTAAAGTTAACTTGGTTATAATTATTGCTACGGAACCCTACACTGAGCGTCGTAGCCCGATACGTTCTTATACGAATAGGCTTTTTATCACTACATAGCCATAGAACAAAGTCGCTTGTTCTGCCCCTATAAGAACTAAAAAATAAAAAAATTAAGGAAAACTAAATAATTTACAAGGTAGGTACAAACTTACAGAAAAATACGAAAAACATTATAAATAATTATTACATAACTGAACTAATCGAAGCAATGTTAAGAGTCAAGAGTTATCTGTGTATTTATTTACTAGTCCACTGTGTTTGTATGAGACGAGTGAGATGATTATGTACAGCATGAAGTTCTTTTATTAAAGGGATTTTTTTGAGGAGAGATTTCTTTTCACCAGTCTTCTTTGTGAAAGGCCAGATTTAGAGGGAGTGTCATATTCTTACTTAAATTTTTTGTATAAATACTACCCTGTTAATTTTTATGCTCACAACTGGCCTTGATATATCGTTGCGATTGACCCGCAAACTCAGCCTGGCATATCAGGGCCCAGCTTGGAGTAGAAGAATGAAGCGGTCCTTAGTGGGCCCCATCTGTGGTCTCTTGGAGGCTCTTTATTGATGGGTGACGTCTACATACAGATACCTTCACTTCCTTGAGCGTAAACTCACAAGTGCCTGATAAGAGCAATCGATTATGAGTTACAGCTTGGGCATGGCACTAAGCCCGTAGAGCTAATATGATTCTAGCATTTTTCTAGAAGATACTTACCGTATAACATAATTATATTAACTTGTAGGTATAAAAAATATTCGGAGTATAGGTGATGACTGATGATCTACAGCCACCATGAACGCGGGTCTGCAGACGGCGAGCAATGGCTAGCACGCCGCCCGACCAGAACCAGACCCGAGCGTACGGCGCGTCGCGCCTCAATCAGCCAATAGACAATCAGAGATGGGGCCCGAAGGTGTTCAGTCTGGGTTGCGGATTAAGCGCAATGAGGCACCGTGGCCCCGACCTAAAGCAGGAGAAGAGATGGGGGGTGAGGGTTTAGTCAGTAAGATTCCAGCATTTTCTCTCGCCGCACCTCAGGGAAATAAGTCATTTGATGGTTTTGTATTAAATAAAAGGTATGATAACTGTTCCTGTACCTACATTTACTGAAGAGTATGAAATAGACATCGATGGAAATAGATGAACGAAGCTTGTATATCGCTAATAAAAAGTTAGCTTTATTATTGGTATCAATCAGAACCAATTGAATAAGACTGTCTGTCGTTCATTGCTTCTCAGAATAGAGAATGTAGTGGGTGTGAAGTGAACAATTTTACCAGTAGGTAACTGCCAGTAAGTAACAAATAATAATAATTAGGTATTTATAATTAATTTCAATGTTTCCAAACCTGGTAAGCTTTTTCATAGCTTTATGCACTTTCTAAGTTTATTAAGCCACCACTGGCATGTACGGTGAAGGCAAACGTCGTGAAGAATCCAGGACTTAAATTCTAATAATAAGTTTAAATTTTATGCTTATCTCTTTATATATGTGTTAAGAATCGTGTTTGTTTCTTCCATTTTCTTTCCCCTTTCATTCTGTTCTAGGACTCTGTGTCCTTGCTTCGCACCAACCGCAAGAATTCTCTGCACTTCCCTATGGTTGACTGTTAGAGAATGCCTTAAGACATTAAGTCCGCCATTTAGTCTGTTTTGTGTGAAGAAGAAATAAATAAATAAAATAAATGGCCAGTAGTTTGAAATGGACTGCTGTAGTGGCTGACAATTCGATACTACATTTTCAAATGTTTTAAAATATATTTCAATAAATAAATGTTCAATTTGTCAATTAAGCGTTCCATTACAGATTAGTCAACAATCACATAATTAAATGCACCATTATAATATTACGAACATAATACCAAGCGAAATTGAATTAATCCCCGCAATAAAATATAATGGGCTACAAAACAACAACCCGTATCGTAATGATAACAGAGTTATCTAAATCATTAAAGCTACGAATGTATGTATACAGTTAATGTTCAGTTTGAGTGGAGTGCTCTTATAAGTCGAGTAGGTAAGTTATTTTAAAACATATTTTTTCCTTAATTCGGAGCTGAATCTCCGAGCGGAAAGTGGTGTCCCCTCCCACACACTCCATTCAGATCATCATCATCAGTCTATAAGTGTGCTGCTTTGCAAAGGCGTCTTCTTACACGAAGGTTTGAGCGTTAATCACTACTGTTGGTAAAGGCGGATTGGAGATTTTAAACTTATACCTATTATTAAAAATCATAAGTCGAGGTTTACTCACGATGTTTTTTTTTTCACCGTATTTTGTCGGTGGTGTCTCAATAATGATCGAAAGTACAAGTAACTGGGAAAAAGTCAGATTAATATATATCGAAGCCTTACACTCATTAATCTCAAGAATCAGGCATAACCTCCGCCGTATCCTCAGGGAAGTGATCGGCGGCGGCGACCTCTCGCGCCCGGCCTTAGTCGAGGCCATGGTGCGGAGTGAGAGGAACTGGGACGCCGTCTCCTCCTTTTGTGAAGCGGTCATGCTCGCAAAGAGAGAGGCGGCCCGCGTGAGGGAGCAATCCTCCTCCTCACGCCCCAGCAGCCGCAACTGGCGACACTACGGGCGTAGGGGATCGAGGGACGATCTCCGGCCACCGTAAGCACGGGCCTGCGGTCGGCGAGTAAGGGCAGCTCGCCGCCCGACCAGAACCAGGCCCGAGCGTACGGCGCGTAGCGTTCCGCGCGCGCCTCAAAGAGCCATGCGACCACCACAGACGGGGCCCTAAAGGGCTGATGTTCAGCCGGGGTTGCGGGGTAAGCGCAATGAGGTACCGCGACCTCGGCACAGAGCAGGAGAAGGAACAGGGGGGTTTTTAGTCAGTAAGAGTCTGACACTCCCTCCTGCCCGGCCCTGGCCGGGAGAAGTCATTTGATGATTTACCCCTCACAAAAAAATAAATAAAAAAAAAGGCGGCATAACCTCCAATCACCCCATTATAGACCGTAATTCCGATGCTTAGAGATTAAATTAAAGAATTTATAAACTTGTCTACAAAATGTATTTTATTACGATTTATTTGAATATATAGAATTTAAATCTTTTATATCAAATCATTAAAATTTATACCTTTTTAAGTGTGGGAGAGCTATGCATCGGCACGAATGGGTTGGTTCTTATTTTCTATTCCGTGGGTTGGCTCAACCGGAGTGATACCACACCGGCAAAGCAAAGCCAAACAAAGCCGGCGTGAAACAACCACAGCGTTGTGTTTCGCCGTGTGAGTTTGGTGAGTGAGGTTACCGGAGGCCCAATCCTTCCCCTCCCCAAATCTCCCAAATCCCTAATCCCCAAGAGGTCGGCAACGCACTCGTTGTTGCGGTTGTACATGGGCAGCGCTGATTGCTTACCATCAGGTACTCCGTCTGCTCATTTGCCAATCTCCGAAACCCACAAAGATAGCAACGTCCGCATAACTCCTCTGGCATCCATAAGCGGCGCCTTACCATCAGTTACTACATTTGCTCGCTTGCCGACCTATCTCATTAAGAAGGCACAATGCAAATGAAGAATGACTGGATTTTATAACCTTTCAAATTCCATTGTCGATTTACCAGACATTTAGTGGTAGTATAAAGTTTGGTGGACGATGGACCGACGACAACGTCAGAGTTGCAGGGAGCATGGATGTGTAGTGTAATGGATGATGGAGTTGTCGTTTCACGTGAAAGACTAAGGGTTGGCTTGTGTACAGCAGTGGACGTCTCTCGGCTGATGATGACGAGAAAACAGCTTATTTAGTTAGATCTGCACAATTGGCGCGGTGGCACAACTACACAGATAACTGCCGTGCAACGTGTCGAGTCTGGATGTGATGTGTATGTGAATTTGTATGTTTGTAAAGGCACCCACGACACAGAAGAAAATCCAAGTGAGGAGCAAACTTTTTTTTTTGAAAATCAGATATCATTTTATAAAATAAAACAGAGTCTTCAGCTCTCAAAAAGCCAAAAAGTATAAAACTTACTCTGCCCCTATTTCCCTAGGTATGCTTAAATCTTTACAACTACGCAACGGATCTTGATGCGGTTTTTTTAATAGATAGAGTGATTGAAGAGGAGGTTTTATATATATAGGTAATAACATCAATAAAATAGTGAAGAAATTGAATAACATTGCACATGTGCGAAGCGGGCGTGGTTCTCTTTTTATAATAAAATTTACCATGTTTTATAAATTATAAGCCTTATTTCCGAAAAATATTTTTATAAAATTTTCTCCCTCATATAAACAAGTTAATGAAATTAATAAGCGTGGCCGTTCGTAACCAATAACCATATTATTAAAATTGAACCATATTTTGGGGAAAACCGCTAATTAATTTTCAGAACTCGATTGTGATTTTCAGGTGATTCATTATTGGTTTGCAAAACCAATGCTGAAAACATTATGGAAATGAATTGAAAGTAAAATCATATTCGGTATTTTTTTTCACGGAAAACTTTTAAATTTTCACTGGGCTCGGATTCAAATAGATTTTTAGGCTAAAAAGTTTTTCACGCTACGCAGACCGACTAGCGTAACTTTTCCTAAAATTTAATTGGAAACTGTCTATCAGATAATCCCTGGAATTATAAAATAAACAAAAAGTTCATTTAGCAAATATTAACAATGCCTACAATGTTTTTATATTGAATCCTACTCCATCCATCTAAATAAGGGTTCGCAAGAAATTTGTACTTATTTAGATATAATATCAAAATTATTTTAGGTACATATTCATAAGTTATGAACCAATTACAAGTGCTTTGTTTATAAACAAAATATAATTAGATAAATAATAGTTAAATTGTGTACCTATTTACTTAATGCTTTATTACACCCCAAAATGTACACAGTTAAAATGTAACATACTGTGACGGAAAAGTGGTTCAAACTCTTTGACATCATGACGTCAATGGATGGTTGTCAAACGTTGCCTAGAGATTGTAAATTTCGTCGTGAATTGTCAACACGAGTTGGTGTAATCGGTAAGGCGTGTGGATTACACCACAGAGACCTCGAGTTCGAGTCCCGCCGTAAACATAAAGTTTTTTAGTTGATAGAAGTTTTGTCGAACTTTCTGGAATTATTTGTGTGAAAGAAATGAAAAATTAAAGAGTGAGAAGGAGAATAAATAAAAATGAATAACGAAATTATTGGAAGGTTCTGGAGGCATGACGATCAAAAAGAATAACGAAATTGAATGTTCCAGAACCTGACCGGGGGTATATAAGCAGAACTGCGGCTCACCGCTGGCAGTTGAGTTCTAAGTCCAAAGCGATTCGGAAGAAAAGGAAGAAGTGAAAAAGAAGAAAAGTGAGTGAAATAGTGAAGTGCAGTGAAATAGTGAAGTGCAGTGAGTTAAGTGAAAGTCAGCGTGAACTGGGAGCGGCAAACGGAAGTTTGTGTCAGACGCCCGTACTCTGCTGGAGAGGAACGCCGAAAACTTAACTCAGTGGACACTGTCATTTAAGTGCAATAGAAAGTCTGAAAACCGGTATTAGTGTTTAATTTTATCCAATCCCGTAACCCAAGCCCGCGTAGTCAGGAACGTGACGTCAGGTACGTAACATTTGGTGTCAGAAGTGGGATTGGAGAAAAATGCCGCTAGTGCCGCAGGACGTAAGAGGAGTGAGTACCCGTGCTATGTCAGAAGCGCAGCGTGTGAGGGAAGAGGGTGCTGCAGCTCAAACCAGCGATGCAGAAGCCAAGCCTGTGCAGGTGGATCTTCTGCTACAGCTGCAGCAAATGATGGCAGAGCAAGCGCGCCGCCAAGAAGATCAAGCGCGCCGCCAAGAAGAGCAAGCGCGCCGCCAAGAAGAGCAAGCGCGCCGCCAAGAAGAGCAAGCGCGCCGCCAAGAAGAGCAAGCACGCTGTCAGGCGGAACAGCTACGGGAGCTGAAAGAAGATCAAGCTCATCGCCAAGAGGATCAAGCTCGCCGCCAAGAGGAGCAAGCGCGTCGCTTGGAAGAGATGCATAAGGATTTCACGAAGGGACTGCAAAAGGCTGTCGAACGGGTACAAGAAGTGGAGGAAGGGTTAGGCAAGTTGGAACATCGCGTCATGGCGATAGAGGAGAGAGTGAAAGAAGAGATCTCCAAAATCAAGCAGGAAGTGACAAGCCCAAGCCCTTTGAAGAGCCGAAGCCGTCTTGCAGCCGTTTTTGACGCCCCAAATGTGGCCTCAAGCGCAACGCAAGGGCTCAAGATTCCCCATTACGACGGAACAACATCCTGGAACGCGTTCAAGCTACAGTTTGAGACACTTATGGAGGCTTATGGTTGGACTCAGAAGGAAGCACAGTCAGCCCTCACCCTGGCCCTCCGTGATCAAGCGCTCTCAGTGCTGGAAGCTATCGGCGCAAGTGGGGATCTCAGCTTTAGTGCCCTCCTCGACGCACTTGAGGCACGTTTTGGAGACAGCCACCTCGAACACGTGTACAGAGCGCAATTAAAAGAGCGTACTCAGCGTGCTAATGAGAGTCTACAGCAATGGTCCGTGGAAATCGAGAAACTTGTGCGTCGAGCTTTCCGGTCGACTCCGTCAATGATTGAAGGCACGCTTCTCCAAGCGTTCATTGACGGTATTCGGGACCCCGAAGTACGAGCTGCTGTTCATCTGGGCCATCACAAGAACATGAAAGAAGCTCTGGCCCATGCATTGGAAGTGGAAGCCGTGCGTGGCAACTCCCGTACCTTACGTCTGCGGGAAATGACGACAACGGAGCAGGTACCTCCACGCCGTCGGAACTTCATGTGCTATGGATGTGGAGAGCGTGGGCACATACGGTGCGACTGCCCGAAGAAGATGAACCGCCAGGACGCGGCGGTCTCAACTTCTGAACAGCAGGGAAACTTAAATCCAGCTAGGGCTGCGGGGTGGGCGCTGGCTGGTAGTGGAACAACCCCAACAATCTACATCAAGCAAACCAACGATGGAAATACTCTGGTGATAGACGGTCAAGTAAATGGGAAAAACAGTCAGCTAACATTAGATACTGGAGCTTCAAGGACGGTGATAAATGTTCGGCTGCTCGAGCAAAACATCAGGAAACACCTTAAACCAATTGTTGGCCTACAAATGAAATCAGCTACCGGCCAGTGCATACCGATAAGCGGAAAACTGCATGTAACAATCAAAATTGGGGAACGTGTTTATCGACATGAGGTTATTGTGGCCAAAATTCTGGATGACTGCATCCTGGGACTTGACTTCCTGCAAGGGCACCAGTGTAACATCGACTTAAAATCTGGAGTTTTACTATGTGGAACTGAGGAAATTCCGATGAAGGGTGGAACCCTGGGAAAAGTTTGCTGTTTAAGAAGAACTGTTCTTGCACCAAAATCACAGACTCTCGTACCAATCGCATTACCTAGGAGGAAGGAAGGAAGTTTACCTCGAAGGTGCGCTGTGATTGATAAATCGGAACACGTAAGCTCATGGCTACCGGCAAGAACTGTCGTGGGGTCATCTGATGTCAACCGCATTCCGGTATTCAACTTCAGTGATTCAAAAATTACGATTGAAGAAGGAGAGCCTGTGGGCGTATTGGAAGAAGTGGCCTGGATAAGAAAATGCTCGGAGAATCTTGTGAAGAAGGACAGTACGGGAATTGACTTTGTAACGAAAATCTTAGACGAAAACAAAAGTCTGACAAAAGTGGAGACTATGAAAGCTAGAAATTTACTTCTTCGATTCTCTGATGTGTTTTCAAGAAGCGATGGTGATATTGGCCGAACTGGTTTGGTGAAGCATAAAATAAACACAGGTGATACAATGCCAATTCGTCAAAGGCCCAGACGCATACCATTCGCTCGTGAGAAAGAGGTTGAAGAAATGATTGACGATATGAGGAAAAATGACGTGATAGAGCCCTCTTCTAGCCCTTGGTGTCCACCTATCGTGCTTGTCAAGAAGAAAGATGGTTCAACGAGGTTTTGCGTAGACTATCGACGATTGAATGATGTAACCAAGAAGGATAGCTACCCGTTACCAAGAATCGATGACACACTTGACACACTGAGTGGCATGAAATGGTTTTCAACGCTCGATCTGAAAAGCGGCTATTGGCAGGTGGATTTGGATCCTAAGGACAAGGAAAAGACCGCATTCTCAACTGGGAAAGGACTCTGGCAATTTAAGGTGATGCCATTTGGATTATGCAATGCACCGGCAACCTTTGAGCGTTTGATGGAACAGGTGCTGGCGGGACTGCTGGGCGAAACCTGCCTAGTTTACCTCGATGACATCATCATTGTTGGACGGGATTTTGACGATCATCTAAGGAAATTGGAAAAGGTACTCGGCAAGCTGCGTGGAGCAAATTTAAAGTTGAGTCCAAAGAAATGCTCTTTCTTCAAGCGCGAAGTGAATTATCTAGGACATGTTATTTCTGAGAGAGGAATTGAGACTGATCCAGCCAAGACTGTCGCTGTTAAGGAATTGCCAACACCTAAAGACAAAACGCAAGTTCGGGCATTTCTTGGATTGTGCTCGTATTATCGGCGGTTTGTGAAAGGATTCTCGGACATTGCCAAGCCTTTGCATCGATTGACAGAGGAGAAACGTGCCTTTATCTGGGACGAGGATTGTGAGCAAGCCTTTCGAGAACTAAAAGAACGGCTCTGTAACACACCATATCTCGGATACCCCAGCGCGAAAGGAATATCCGTAGTTGATACGGATGCCAGCAATATTGGAATAGGAGGTGTCCTTTCACAACGCGATGGTGAGCAGGAGAAGGTTATTGCTTACTTCAGCAAGTCACTATCCAAGCCGGAGAGGAATTATTGCGTGACCAGGAGGGAATTGCTGGCCGGAGTCAAAACTCTGCACCATTTCAAGAAGTATTTACTGGGACGGAAATTTTTGATTAGAACTGATCACGCTGCTTTGAAATGGCTGCTTCAGTTTAAGGATCCCGAAGGCCAAGTAGCCAGATGGTTGGAACAACTTCAGGAATTTGACTTTGAAATCGAACATCGCGGAGGAAGAATTCATGGCAACGCAGATGCATTATCGAGACGCCCATGCGTGGAAGATTGCAAGCATTGTTCCAAGAAGGAAACAGCTTTTCTTAAGGTGATAAGGACTGATACTGTTGACGAGGCATGGGGAGATGATGCGATGAAATTAGAACAGGAAAGAGATGCAGATATTAAACCAATACTGGAGTGGCTACGAAGTGGTAACAAGCCAAGTTGGAGTGACGTCGCCCAATATAGCGCGGTAACGAAAGGTTTATGGGCACAGTGGAAAAGCCTTACGCTGCATAACGGACTTCTGTGCAGGAAATGGGAATCAACAAACGGCAAGGACGAGCATTTGCAAAGCGTTCCATGATGGATCTTCTGGAGGACATTTGGGAATTAGGAGGACTTTGGTGAAGATCAAGGAGAGGTTTTATTGGTTGCATTGCAAATATGACGTCGAAGATTGGTGCCGGAAATGCACTAGTTGTGCAGCTGTCAAGGGTCCACAAACAAGAAGCAGAGGGGCGATGAAAATCTACAATGTTGGTATGCCTTGGGAGAGAATAGCCTTAGACATCGCTGGACCATTTCCAATCACTGATTCGGGCAATCGCTACGTTTTAGTGGTTATGGATTATTTTACAAAATGGCCGGAGGTCTTTGCCATACCGAATCAAGAGGCAGTAACTGTAGCCACGAAGTTGGTAAACGAGGTATTCACCCGATTCGGAGTGCCCTTGGAGATGCACAGTGATCAAGGACGGAACTTTGAGTCCCAAGTTTTTCAGGAAACTTGTAAACTTTTGGGAATCCATAAGACTCGAACGACCCCTTATCATCCACAGTCAGATGGAATGGTCGAACGTTTCAACCAAACATTGGAGCGACACTTAGCAAAGGTGGTTGACAGCCATCAGAGAGATTGGGACACTTACATACCTCTCTTCTTGCTTGCCTATCGGACTGCTGTACATGAAAGTACCGCAAAGACGCCTGCATTTGCAAATTTTGGAAGGGAATTGAGATTACCGGCAGATCTTGTATCGGGCTGTCCACCTGGTGACTCTCGCACCGAGTTTAGCGATTACATAAGCGAGTTAAGGGCAAAAATGTTGGACATTTATGAGCAGATCAGGGAGGCCGGTCTTCAAGCTAGTGATCGCGCAAAGACGCGCTATGATCGACGAGCCAATTCTGTTGGGTTTGAAGAGGGGTCATTGGTCTGGCTTCATAATCCAGTCAGAAGGAAGGGAAAATCTCCGAAACTGCAACCGAGTTGGGAAGGTCCTTATGAGATAGTCACGAAGATCAATGACATTACTTACAGAATTCGGAAGACTTCAAGGAGCCCTTTAAAAGTTGTCCATATAGACAGGTTGGCGAGGTATTACGGCAGCAACTATGCTCGGGACGAGCGAATCTAAGAGGGGGGCAGTGTGACGGAAAAGTGGTTCAAACTCTTTGACATCATGACGTCAATGGATGGTTGTCAAACGTTGCCTAGAGATTGTAAATTTCGTCGTGAATTGTCAACACGAGTTGGTGTAATCGGTAAGGCGTGTAGATTACACCACAGAGACCTCGAGTTCGAGTCCCGCCGTAAACATAAAGTTTTTTAGTTGATAGAAGTTTTGTCGAACTTTCTGGAATTATTTGTGTGAAAGAAATGAAAAATTAAAGAGTGAGAAGGAGAATAAATAAAAATGAATAACGAAATTATTGGAAGGTTCTGGAGGCATGACGATCAAAAAGAATAACGAAATTGAATGTTCCAGAACCTGACCGGGCGTATATAAGCAGAACTGCGGCTCACCGCTGGCAGTTGAGTTCTAAGTCCAAAGCGATTCGGAAGAAAAGGAAGAAGTGAAAAAGAAGACAAGTGAGTGAAATAGTGAAGTGCAGTGAAATAGTGAAGTGCAGTGAGTTAAGTGAAAGTCAGCGTGAACTGTGAGCGGCAAACGGAAGTTTGTGTCAGACGCCCGTACTCTGCTGGAGAGGAACGCCGAAAACTTAACTCGGTGGACACTGTCATTTAAGTGCAATAGAAAGTCTGAAAACCGGTATTAGTGTTTAATTTTATCCAATGGATAAGCCGTTAAGTGCTGGTGACTTTGCAGCCATAGAGGACCAGCTGAAGGCCTGCGTGGAGGAAGACAGGCAGTACTGGAGGGTCAATGATGTCAAATGCGACGCTATACACACTGCTAAAACTTACGAGGAGTTTGCGGATCGCGTGGCTGCGGCTCATTTGCAACCTTTAGACCAGAGAGACTTCAAGAAGAAATACAACCGCAAGTGGAACCAGTACGCTACTGAAGAGAAAAAACCTAGCGAATAAATTTTATCCAATCCCGTAACCCAAGCCCGCGTAGTCAGGAACGTGACGTCAGGCACGTAACAATACTTACTCGTATAACGCAATTTTTGCCAGGGAGTATCAAGGAGAATGATACTCCCTGGTATATGAACGTAAGAAATTTTCAGCAAAATCGATAAATACCTATATTCTTTTTGTGAATTACACGACAACGCTTAAAAATTCCATACTTGTTATTTCAGGATGACGACACACTTTTCATACCCTGAACCAGCTCTACAAAAGGAGTTGAGGAGCACGGCAGAGGCTATTGTGGCTCCAGGCAAAGGCATCTTAGCTGTTGATGAGACCAACGGTGGGTAGAAAACCATTCGCATAGTTAAAAAACTTGATACTTCTAGGACGACCTTGAACTGACAACTATAGTCTTAGATATTAGTTTTAATTACTTTAACTATTCCTCAAGTCCTAATTTTGTTCCGAAAATAATTTGTTAAGTAACAATGATTTGTGACCCTGAGTAGTGCTGTTTAGCACTCATTTATTTTGGTAACAAGGTCTTATCAATAACATACTAGATTATGTATTTAAAAAGTGACTCTTCCGCACGAATGAACCGGCTCGACTGAAGAAATACCAAGAAAACCGGCGTGCGACAACGGCTACCTTGTGTATCGTCAAGTGAGTGAGTCTATGAGAGATCCAAAGACCAGCAAAAATCTTGCAATTTTCTCATCTGGTGTTGCGGTTACCCTTGAGCGTAGCTGATTGAATACCATCACGAAATCCTATTGTTAGTTATCCTCCCATTCTATACTTCAATGACTAAAACCCTGATGCCTTACGATGAAGACGAAAAGACCATAAGATATGAAGGTTTAATTTTTTTTCCTAAGGCTACCCTACTACTACTAACCCTTTATTTATTTATTAAGGTCTTTTAAGAATGTCAGTCCATAAGGCCTTACCTGAACTAATACATACACATTATTAGTATTTAGTTATATTAATTATTCCTATTATACAAAGTTAGCTTATAAAGCTTGAAAGGTTTAATTTATTCATTTTATTTTTACAGAGGGTATCGGCAAATTGTTAGCAGCTGTTGGCTTGGAGAACACTGAGAACAACAGGAGAAGATACCGCCAGCTGCTTTTCACTACTCAAGTGAGTGGAAAAGACTTTAGTATTGTTTTTAGAAGTATATAAAACATCATCGCTAGAGGTTCCAATTATGGGTATGCTCTACATAAGATGGCACTGCCAAAAAAACGGCTGGCAAAACGGTTGTAGATAGCAGTTTAAGTTTAAGTACCAGTATGGCTACTAAGACGTGTTAAAGCGTGAATCTTCCGGACGAGAAAGAGGGATGGAGCCATCCACCTTTTATAGATCCATCCCTTTTTCTCGCCAGGAAGATTCACGCTTCAACACATTATGGTAGGCCCTCTTATCTTTGTCAAATGTGCCTTTAAAAGGCTTTTACGTATCTCTAGGAAGACTAGGTTACAGGAGGCCCAATCCTTCCCCTCCCCTCGATTCTTAATCCCCTATCATTAAATCCCTTACAGCCCACACGAGGCAGGCAACGCACTTGCAACTTCTTTGTTGTTACGAGTAATAATAGATGGCGCTGATTGCTTACCATCTTACAGGCTTTTGGCATAAAAAATAGAAGTTTCGTATTTAAATAAACATATTAAAGATTAATGTACATCACAAATTTTCTTTTGTAAGTCTGTTACTACACTGAAACCTTCTCCTGAAAGAAACAAGAACTTTTCTGAAATCCACATTCTAATTGCTTCTCCTTTTTTTGAAGTCTATTAATAAAACAATGTCCAAGTCATTACATGTCGTTAATTTGTCTCTCTATCTATCTATCAGGACTTTTTTATTATTTTCCTAAATATATTTTCAAGATTTATAATTGAGAACAAGGTCGAAAACAAAAAAGGAGTTTCGTTTGACTTGTTTGCTTCCTATTAAAACTTTCCTTTTGTGCCATAAGGGACAAACATGTGTCGTTTTTTGTTTTTGTTTTACACTACGTGTATGTCTCGCTGGGGACGGTCGTACATTTTCCTGATGAATGTTTTATAGGCCAGATTCTAGCTAGCTAGATGAAAAACGTGTAACAACTTTTGATTTCTTTTGAAAAAATGTCTGAAGGTCCCTTGGTGAAAGGACATAGGGTCTGAACTTTGATCCAAAGGTTTCTGTAGGTACACATTTATAAAATAAGTAGAATACAGTTTTTTGATAAATAAAGAGCAACTATTCTATTTCTGTTTTGGTTCTTCTTGGTTATGTACCGAACACAATCCAAATAGGGTAGTTTCCAACTAGTCAAATTCAGTATTTTTTGGGAATGTCAAAAACGTTGAAATTTGAAATAGCACGTTGTAACGTCATATTTGTTTTTACATTTAATAGCATATTTATTTCTTTTAATTTACCTACCTAAAAAATAATTATGTTATTATGGTTATTTTTTTAGTTAGACTACTAATGAATGAAGGTCTATTTATTTTTCTATCTTTTATCGCAGTAATTAATAATAATTATTACTTTTTGTATAAGAAACAACCCAATTCCAACTGAAATGATCTCACCCTACATAACACTTCTCCGGTTTAGAACTTCAGTTTAAAAAAATTGATATCATTACAGAACCTCTCTGAACATGTATCAGCGACCATCCTCTTCGACGAGACAGTCTACCAGAAGACTGACGATGGCACTCCATTCATGGAACTCCTGAAGAAGAACAACATCATTCCTGGAATCAAACTGGATCTGGATGCAGTTCCTCTATTTCTCTCGCAAGATGAGGTTACAACTCAAGGTAAACTTACACATTTAACGTAGGTTTTTTAAAAAAATAAATACGCAATCGAACTATTAAGATTGATTTACAAACATTACAAAGAAACATATTTCTATTTAACGCGCTATCGATTCTCTAGTAAATAAAATAAAGAAATAACAGACCTTAAGTGTTTGCTTGTGACTCCGTTATCGGGTGTCCATCCATCGTGCCGATTGCTTACCATCTAGAGCCTTTTTTTTGTATAGGGCCACTCGTATTTTAACACGCTTTTTTGTGAGGGGAAATCATCAAATGACGTCTCCCGCTTAGGACCGTGCGGGTGTGAGTGTCATGTTCCTGTTCCTTCCCCTGCTCTGGGCCGAGGTCGTGGTGCCTCATTGCGCTTAACCAGCAACCCCGACTGAACATCAGCCCTATAGAGCCACGTCTGGGGTGATCTATTGGCTCTTTGAGGCGCGCGCGGAACGCTACGCGCCGTACGCTCGGGTCTGGTTCTGGTCGGGCGGCGAGCTACCCTTACTCGCCGTCCGCAGACCCGCGCTTACGGTGGCCGGAGATCGTCTCTCGATCTATTTTAACACGCTATGGTTGTAACTAATAAACTGGAGTAATATTTGCATTGCATCGCTAAGGGCAACCTTGTAGGGTTAGAACCTTGGCTCAGTGGGGCCATTGAAGGGTCAGGTCCAGACACCTGGGTCTAATTATTTAAGGGACTTTTTATTAAAGGGCTGGCTGGTTGAGCAATAGTCGTCCAACTGACTCGTTCCTGTTTGTATACACGACGATGTGTCCATGAGTGCCGCACGATGACGATGTCCGTGGATGAGTGCAGACCAGCACTGATAATGTTTTTAGAAGAGCAGTTTTCTTGGTTTATTTTAGTCTTTATCACATACTATCTTCTTTCACAGGACTTGACAACTTAGCAAGTCGCTGCGCAGAATACAAGAAGCAAGGTTGCAGGTTTGCAAAATGGCGGTGTCCACTCAGGATTGGGGAGAACATACCATCAGTCCAGGCTATCAATGACACGGCTCAAGTCCTGGCTAGGTATGCTGCCGTCTGCCAGAGCCAGGGCCTGGTGCCTATTGTGGAACCTGACGTGGTTTTGGATGGTGAGTACTTAAAGATTGAAGTTACCTCGTTTCGTATTGATACAGAAAACCGGCGTGAAACATCCACAGCGTTGTGTTTCGCCGTGTGAGTGAGTTACCGGAGGCTTCATCCCTTCCCCCCCTTATTCCCTATTTTTAAATATCCCCAAAAGGCCGGCAAGGCACTCGTAACTCGTTTGGTGTTGCGGGTGTCCATGGGCGGCGCTGATTGCTTACTATTAGGTAGGTAATCCGTCTGCTTGTTTGCAGACTTATCCCATAAAAAATTGGTTGTCGTGGTGGCTTGAAGGTTAAGGCGCTCGCTTCTCATGCATGAGGGTGCTGGAGCCGAAACCTGTCAAGTATAAAATACCAATGTAACTTTTTTCTAGTTATAAATACTTTTTAAGATTTTTTACACTCCACTCACAAATGGCGAAGGAAAACATTGTGAGTAAATTTGGGTTTATAATTTATTTCTAATTCTAAGTTGGACATCGCCAATCCCCTTTGAGCCATCGTGATGATTAACGCTCAAACCTTCCAGGTGTGAGAAAGTGCTTTTGCTTGGCAGTTGGCATTTATACGATGATGTCAATTTTGACGATGACGTATTGGAGAGATGAGTCTTTCTCAAATTTAAACTATTATAGTTAAGAAATTGGCACGTGTACGTACTTATATTTCAAAAGGGAGATGATCCTTGTAATAAATGAAATCGTTAATCAGGCCGTAAGTAAAATAAAAAAAAAAGAATTATATCGAACAATTTATTGTAATTAATGAGTACAAAAGAGGTTTTAAATATGTTCTAATTTAAAGTTGCATAAAATACCTTCTAAATTATATATCATTTAATTTAATCCCGAACATTAAGAATCAAGTTGATTACTGAAATTAGTTGCATAACAATTAACTTTGACAATTAACCCTAAGTGCTTGCTTGTTGTGGAACAATATTAATTATGTATTAAGTAAATGACGGCTTATAATGTATGTGTGTTTAGGTACGTATGTACTTAACAAACATTTCTAATTAATTGGTTCAGTAAACTAACATTGAGGTCCCAAATACGTGTAACAAAATATGTCATGTAAATTCAAAAGGAGCTGTAGACATTTATATCTATACTAATATTATAAAAAGGTAAAATTTGTAAGTTGGTATGTTTGTAAGTTTGTATGTAGGGGGTAATCTTTGGAACCGCTGGTCGGATTGCCAAAATTCTTTCACTAATAGATAGCTACAATGTTCCTGAGTGCTATAGGCTATAAAGCATCACGCTACGATCACATGAAGCTGAGCACCGGGTGAAACCGCGGAAGAGTAGCTGGTTTAGTATAAATCGAAATAAAAAAAATCACACAACACATTTCTTGAAGATATATAAGTACTCGTATTAAAAAGTAAGGCATAATACTACCTTGAAAATCTGAAAAAGCTTTCGTTTACCCTTGCGGAAATCAAATTGAACGTATATAATTATGATCACGAATAATATTAAGAATTAGAAAACCAAACTCCTTGTAACTATCTTCAATGCCGTGGGTTTGTTTATGAGTTAGGCTGCAAACTACCAGACTGAACATTATTTCTGAGTCAAAAAAGTAAAGACTTGTTCCGTGTTGGATTCGAAGCCCTATGTAGAGAGGCAGCTGGTTGCCCAGCCACCACGGCAACCGCATACCAAATAAGATAAAATAATTATTGAAGTAATAAAGGTTATTAACCATTTTGTTTTGTACTAGGCGATCATGACATCGTAAGAGATCAGAAGGTGACAGAAACAGCGCTCGCAGCCGTGTACAAGGCGTTGAACGACCATCATGTTTTTCTTGAAGGAACTTTGTTGAAGCCCAATATGGTAAGTTTTACTTTTTGCAAACTTCTGATTTCCTAGTATATCCAGTTAACATACCCTTTAACGAATGTAAATTTACTTTTTCGTGCTTACCATTATTTATTTATATTCAAAACATGCAAAAATGAATGCCTAAAATGACAAAGACAAAAATTAATGCCGTCTTGTTCTTTTTTTGAAAAGTTTTATGTTTCCTTTTTTTATTTATGTTAATCTGATTTCGATTATTTTTAAATTGTTTATGAACGTAAACATTTTCAATATTATTTAAATTTACCATTTTCAACATACAGCGAAAAACACGTTCTAATTTAGAGCGATGTCTTATGCGATTAGCACGCGTGGTGTAAGTTAATACGATTCCAAGGCGAAATGCCTCGGGTCTTAGTGCAAGGATTTGAAGGCATATTAAAGGAGTACAGAACACCCCCCTTTGTCCTATTTACACCCTTTCAAAGATCCCCTCTTTGCTCTTTATTCAGACCGAACGTGATCTCACATAAACAGCACTTTGCATTCGACAGATTGAAGATTTATTTGGACCTTTTATGGTTATTCCATTATCTATGGGTAGTAAAATATATAGTAGAGGTTTTGTTAATGTTTGATTATGTAAATTTTTGATTTTGTAATCGTCAATGTACAGAAATAATGTTTGATACTTGTTGTATATTCTTTTATGGATACCTAGTTGTGTGGTTGCTCCCAAACAAGAGTGCCGTTGTGTTTTGAATCTAGCATAGCTTTTCTCAAGTAATTCACGTGAGTCCTTGCCTTCAACGAATGTCGTAAATGAGCAATTATTTAGAATCAAAATTAAAAAATATATTGAGTATTGAGTATGGACATTGAAAAGCTGTTTTTAGAGGATTTTAGTCTTTTTGGTTACTGCTTAAGTAGTATGAATTTGCCCTATTGTAGATATTTCGCAATACTAGATCGTACATCCACTGCGCTAACTTAATCAGTTTGTTAAATAATCAAATAATAACACAAATTTATTTATTAACACTTTAGTATAATATAAAACATAAGTGGATTTCTTGCTTGGTGGTATTCTCTAACAGTCAAACACTAAGTGAAGTAGATATAACTCGCAATTGAAATTAATTTTCACTACAGGTGACCCCAGGGCACGATTGTCCAAAGAAGAACACTCCTCAAGAGATAGCTGTGGCTACAGTCACGGCTTTGCTCAGAACTGTTCCAGCTGCTTTACCAGGTAGGCATCACATTATTCTTATTTCTCATCCCCTTCCTTAATCTCTACACAGTATAAAACAAAGTCGTTTCCTGTCTCCCTATGTAAGCTTAAATCTTTTTAACTACGCTTATGGTTAAATCTTTTAAACTACGCTACGGATTTTAATGCAATTTTTTAATAGATAATGTAATTGAAGAGGTGTGTTTGTATGTATAATAATATAGCATCCATTATATAGTGGAGAGTATCAGCATCGACATTGCATATGTGCGAAGCCGGGGCGGGTCGCTAGTACATATATAAAAATAAGTTTATGTAGAAATGAATCCTAAATTACAATAAGTCTTTTTATTGTAATGTGTTTGTAAAAATTCAAATAACATGTTTGTAAACGCACCTACGACGCAGGACAAAATATAAGGATGTTTTAATCACAAATCAATTAATAACAAATATTACAATGACCATCTAGCTACTATTCTTCTTATATTCTCCAGGAATCGCCTTCCTCTCTGGTGGTTTGACCGAAGAAGAAGCAACAGTGTATCTGAATGCTATCAACCAGGTGAACATGAAAAAACCTTGGGCCCTCACCTTCAGCTACGGCAGGGCGCTGCAGGCTTCCGTGTGGAAAACCTGGGCAGGGAAAGATGAGAACACTAAGGCTGCTCAAGCTGAACTATTGAAAAGGACAAAGGTAAATATTTCGTATCCATAAGAAAGAAAAGTCGTGGTGGCCCGGAGGTTAAGGAGCCCGCTTCTCATGCATGAGGGTGCGGGTTCGAAACCTGGCAATTACCAATGTGACTTTTTCCGAGTTATATGTACTTTCTATGATTATTTAGACACCACTGACATACGGTGAAGGTAGGAATCCTAAACATCGTGAGGATACCTGGACTTATAATTTCTAATAATTAGTTTGAAATCGCCAACCCGCATTGAGCAAGCGTGGTGATTAATGCTCTAACCTGCTCCGTATGAGAAGAGGCCTTTGCTCAGCAGTAAGCACTTATAGGCTGATGATGATGATGATGATGATAAGAAAGAAAGAAAATGAAAAAAATGTCTTTTCTTTTACGTTTAAATTCAAATAAAAATAAAATGTCATGCAGAATACACTATTTTTCGTTTGGACAGAGTCTTAGGCAAATTTTTTCTAGATCTTATGATTGTTTATGTTCAATCTTAACTATGTTAATATGAAATGTTCTGAAACCGTTATCTGTGGCTGATTTTTCCATATCTATTTGTTTCAGGCCAATGGGTTAGCTTGTCAAGGAAAGTACCAAGGCGGACCTGCATCATCAGCTGGCACCAAGTCCAACTTTGCTGCTAATCATAGATACTGATTTGTATATATCATTATGAAGCTTTTTTGTGTGACACAACGAACAAAAATTAAACTAAATTAAAAAAGTTAAATGCAAAATTGAGCTTCATTTACAGTAAACTACATCTACTACTAGTAAACATTTACATAATAGAATTACAAAAAAATCAATACTATTTTCCGTAACTGAACAATGCCTTTACCGATTTGGCTAATTTTGGTCTTGAATTAGATATAAGAAGGTATGTACTTGCAGAAAGAAAATAAAAAATAGCTTGAAAAAGTGTAATATCGACATCCACGCGGGCGGAGCCGCGGTCGTCCGCAAGTAGTCTATCGATTCCTAAGCCTCAGTTTTCATCCAAAAACACAATATTTTATACACGTGTAGTAAGCACACAACAAAGAAACAAAGGACCTTTGCAAGGTTCAAATTCGGAATCCCTTTAATCATTCGCTCCATCGCTTAAATCCTTTACCCGTAACAACTATAAACTTAAAAGCAAATCACAAATCCTAACTTGATCCCCATTTAAGTCTAGTTTAAGTTCAAAAGAAAACAACAGAAAAAGCTTAGTATACGAATTTTCTTGAAAGAAATTTTCTTCTTTGAGTCTATGGCATAAGGTTGTTAATGGAAGAAGATTGGCAAATTGGGATACTTTGATCAGCTGGGCTAACTAGTCAATGCAGAAATTTAGTATGTAGGTTAGCATATTTTCTGCATTTTTTTATACTTGATAGGTCGGTAAACGAGCAGACAGATTACCTGATCAGGTAATCTGCTAAGCAATCAGCGCCGCCCACGGCAACCGCAACATCAAAGCAGTTACGAGTGCGTTGCCGACCTTTTAGAGATAAGGGTTTCAGATTTTTAAGTATTGGGAAAGGATGGGAGAGGAAGAGAACACAACGCTGTGGTTGTTTCACGCCGGTTTTCTGAGGAGCCGGGGTATCACTCCAGTCGAACCGACCTATTCGTGCCGAGGTATGGCTGTCCCACACTTTTATGACAAGAAATCGAAAGTGACCGTATTTGACGTTTTTGACCGCCGCGGTTACACCGTAGTTTGGCTATAACTAGGGCTTATGAAAATTAAGATTGATTTAGTAAAGAACAAACATGCTGTCATTTGTGCGTCTGTAGTAATGACATAATAATAATAATATGTATGCATCATTCAAGGGTTTATTAAGTCGGTATCTGAATCCTGAATCAGTCTGTATTTGCAAGCGTACCAAATATCTTGGCTGCCTGTACATGCGGTGGGAGATGTGTTCAGTCACCATGGTGACCCAGATTGCTTTGAGCATAAAAGACGAATGAATAACAGCCTCGAAGAAAGAAACTCGTGATCAAAAATGGCTGCAAAGATGCGGTTTTTCTTGCAAATGTTCTGCGCTGCTATTGGGATTTTGTAGAATTTTCATGGAGTGTGAAAAAAGTAATTAAAATTATATATTATGAATGAAGTGAAGTCTTCAGTTTTATGTTTTCCTAATCAAAGAACAGAATATGGAAACATTTCCTGACGGATGCTCTTGCTCGATCGCTGAACAACGTCTTTTTGGATGATCTTTAGTAGGTAATTTACGAATGCAATCTTGACCAAATGAACAATATTTTTTATTTATTTTACACGCGAATTGAAAAGCAAAATACAAAATAATTTTCCATCACATATCAACTCTGAATAATTTCTTTATAAGTTGTCAAGTAAGATGGCAAAACCCAGCTCGTCCTATGTGCGCCTAATAACATAATTGACAAAATTACTTTCCTTTTTGTGAGAGCGTGGGTAATGTGTTTTATGTTTTACTGAAGAAACTCGTTATCCTCCATTGATGTTATGGTTTCCTGGTACATGCCACTAATTAAGGTAATGAATGATGGAGATAATATTATTTTTGACATTGTTGTAGTGGAACTTGAACCTGTTCTTCTCACGGGTGTAGTCTGACTGAGGGAGGCTGCTCATTGGTCAGGTACCAAGTACTAGCCAGCGCTCTTTGATAAAATTGAACCTTAAACTCGGTTCTCCAACTCATTTCTCGTTGGTGGCAATGACCTCTCAAGCCCGGCCTAGGTCTAGGCCATGATGCAGAGCGAGAGGAACTGGTAAGCCATCTCTGCCTTTCTTCTTCTTTTCTTCTTTGCGTTTTAGGGAACTAGACCTTCCATACACTCCATCTGCTGTAGAAGACACTACGGCGTGGATAATAGCGACGATCTCCGGCCGCCGCAAGCGTGGGTCCTGTTTAGAGCTATCAGGCCGCCACAGAGGGGTATGTCCATCAGGGGTTGTAGGTATGAGCGCAAATGATATACCACGGTCTCGCTTGGAGCAGGAGAAAGAACGTAGTGGTTTTTAATCAGTAGGAGTCTCGTTGAATACATACCTTTTTACCAAACCTTCTCAATTTGCCTGACCACATTATCTTTCCACACAAAAATGTCCAGAAAAATCCCCAACTATGATAAATTTAAATTTATTTCTACTACAGATATCGTGTCTAAAACACTAAAAGGGTCAACAGCGTCCTTAAAAATCCATTCCCAACAAACAATCGAATCGATTCCAAGAATAATCAACATCGACGCTATCACAGGATCGTTTGTTTAATTAATTACGTGTACCGGCCAGTCCGGTCGTCCGGACATTCGGTCCGGTTGCGTATTTAATAAGCAGTCCATCTGATTTATATTGTTCTGTGTGTGTATAAGTATGGCCCCTCCCTGTATGGGCATTTATTGACGAGTGACGCTTGCAGTAGTTGGTTATAATTATAGGTATATTACTAGCTTCTGCAAGTGGCTTATGTTTATTATTTTGACGACCTATTGTAACATAAGAACTAGGGATAAAGAAGCGTGTGTGCCGTCCAAACTAAAACCTAACACAAGTGTGGGAGCGCCATCCTTCAGCAAGAATAGGCCGGCTCAACCGGAGTGATACCACGGCCTCACAGAAAACCCCCGTGAAGCAACACTTACGTTAAGTTTTGCCGTGTGAGTGAGGTTCTCCCCCCATCCTCAATCCCTAAATCCCCTATCCCTAATAACCCACAAAATGTCGGCACCGCACTTGCAGTCCTTTGGTACTGCTAGGGTCCATGGGCAGCGCTGATTGTTTACCATCAGGTAATCCGTCTGCTTGTTTGCCGATCTAAGGCACAAAAAATACTATCTTTGTGCCAAATCGTATGCAGTTTCTTTCAGTAGTTTTCGCATAAACGAAAAACAAACATCCATCACCCGCCCCACGAGCGAGAGGAACTGGGACGCTGTCTCTTCCTTCTGTGAAGCAGTTATACTCGCAAAGAGGGAGGTGGACCGCATGAGGGAGCAATCCTCCTCCTCACGCCATAGCCGTCGCAGCAGGTGTCGACACTCCGGGCATCGGGGATCAAGAAACGATCTCCGGCCGCCGTAAGCGTGGGTCTGCGGATGGCGAGTAAGGGTAGCTTGCCCGACCAGAACCAGACCCGAGCGTACGGCGCGTAGCGTTCCGCGAGCGCCTCAAAGAGTCAATAGACCACCACAGACGGGGCCCTATAGGGCTGGTGTTCAGCCGGGCGGGGTTGCAGGGTGCAGAGCAGGAGAAGGAACGGGGGGGTTTTTAGTCAGTGAGAGTCTGACACTTCCTCCCGCCCCACCCTGGGCGTGAGAAGAAATTTAATGAATTTCCTCTCACAAAAAAAAAATCGTACGCCTTACCACACATAGCGGTGACCAGAGTAGATGACTCAGGTTGGCCACCACCTGGTGAGACAAACGACAGTGACGCTGTTCACTGTTAAAAGCTATATAAGCTTTATATTTCTACTCCTATTCCAAATAAGTTACTCCATTTAATGTTATTAAACCAACCGCTAAACGTACCTTTGAGGATTGCCAACGCAATTATTCTTAGTTTAACTTCAGCTCGGCAAAGATAATTGAATGTAGCCTTTCTTCAATGGCTATTAAAGTCTAAGCCAAAGGAAATACTCGATGCTGTAATTATACTGTTCAAATAACACTATGGCTGTTTCGTAGTGCTACTTTTGACTTCTAAGTTGTGATTAATGTTGATGGGGATAATTGTCAATAAAAAATCAACAATGAAACTTTAGAATATAATTTTTATTTGTTTAGAATGTAGGTATTACAATAAGATGTTAACAATGTTCAAGAGTCCTTATACATTCTGCCTTTCGGCATTCAAACATTCATGGATAAACGACATCGGGGTACATACATATAGCTTACCATCAGTGCGTGTTCCTTTAGACTATTACAAATCATCATTAAAAAATCGGGTAAAGAATAGTAACATTTTTGCAACAATAATTCGTTTTGATGTTTTTTGAAAATTCTAAATATTCATCATCATCATCAGCCTGTTGTCGTCCACTGCTGGACATAGGCCTCCCCAATTGCACGCTACTGAGCTCGATGTTCAGCTCTTCTCATCCAACCACTGCCAACCACCCTGCGGATGTCGTCAGTCCACCTAGCTGGAGGGCGCCCCATACTACGTTTGCTAGACGTGGTCTCCACTCTAGAACCCATATATTCATATTTATTTATTTGCATACCATAATGTTACAAAGATGTAAAGGGCTTAAATCAAGGTACATATTATGGACCCTGATAGGGCACAGCAAGAGAAGTAGTAAGTTTAATAACATTGTAATTGGGTACAATAGTTTATATCTAATTATTTATAGGTATATTAATTATTAATCAGACTATCTTGTTATACTTGATCTTTAAAATGGTTGATCTTTAATAACTTTAGGTAACAGATTGTACACCTTTGGTTTTGGTTTTTTAACTCAGGTATCTATCTTTCTCGATATTCGCACTTGCAATCCCTAGATCAACAGGTACGCTGTAACAACATTATCTGCTCACTTTAAATAGAACTTAAGAGGAAAGATAACAAAAAAGAAAACAAACAAAGTAAAAAGTTCGCTAAGTACCATATTCCCTTAAGAATGAATTTAAATAAATTACTTAAAGCTGTTGACTTCCGAAGGCGAAAACTTCACAAACTTCGTACCTACTTCTGTTTCTACCGCGCAGTTGCCAGATTTCAGCGTTATAAG